CATGCTCTTCTATGGAAGTTAGAGAGGCTGATTTTTCCTTTCACAAAAAAACTGTTGAGATGGACATTCCATTTGTCCTGTGTTGTCCTACAATGGAACATTGTTTAAGACTTCAGCCTTAGACAGTTAAAAATGTGAAATGTATATTTAATTGCTGTACAGCAGGACAGATAATGCCTGGCACAGTTCTCACAATAATTTATGTGCCACCAAACAAATGCAGTTTATATGCTTCCCTTTAAAGGTCATTAGTTCAATCACACAATTTCTTGTCTCAAAGTTCCTTAAAACCTCGATCAAAGGAGTAGTTAAGTATCCTTTAGACGTGATCAAACTGAGTGATAATGATCTATGAATGCAGTATTTTTAAAAAACCCACAACCTATTTCAAACTGGGATGCTATAAGGAATAATTTTCTACTAGTATGGGACATTTACTAAAACAACTATTTTGTATGGAATATAATCATAGTACTAAAATTTCCAGTGAGCAGGGAGTGAAAGAGAATGTTGTTAGATAGCTTAATTGCTACCTCTTTATATGTTCTTCTCTATACGGATATATTGTGATAAATAGCCTGTTTATTAAGACAACCAGTTATAAGTCTATTCTTAAAACTTAAGCTTGAGGAATAGAAATTCACCTTTTGATTTAGAAGGTGTAATAGCAACAATTTTTTTTTCATATTAACAGCCATGCATTTCATTTGTTGAATTTTTTTTATGACCACTTGGCAATCAGTTCAATGTTGTTTATTTTGTTGGAGGTTTAGTGCCAATCAGGTGACCTGACCATATGCCAATGTGTCAAAAAAACCTACTAGCGAGACTTGACAGTTCAAGATTGTCACGTGGTGATTCAGAAAAAAAAGTAATTACTTTCAAATGTTTCTGACTACTTCAGGCTCTATAGAAGCATCTCTTCTTTCTTGAATTTTTCAATTGCTTGTGTCTCTTAAGCCTGGTTTCCTTTGAAAGCCAAGCTAATGGGAGATGCTGTTTGGTTTAATGACCAGAACTTTGGAACCTGTTGGCTAGCTTCACCACCTCTTAATAGAAGAGTAGGCATCTCACACTTAACTGCTTCTACAATTTTCAAGAAACATTGTTGCTAGGTGAAAAGAGCCAAACTATTGCCTCTCTGAAGAAAATGCTGCAGTCTGTTATCTGTCTGGTAGGCCAAAGAACTTCAGATAACCAGCAAACATGTACTGACCAGCCAGATAGCAAGAAGGTAGCTTGGAATGTGCTGCAGTGTGAGCTACCTTTTATCTAACAGGTACTGTCTGAAAATGGGAGAAGCTGTGGGTGTTGCTATGGTGAAATCAAAGTATGGAGATAAGGGGTTATCACAGTGAGAAAAAGGAGACAGACAGAAAAACCATATGGTTGACAGTGTAGAAAACATGTTTTGTTAGCTCTGCTTTCAGGAGGAGATAGGCACTCAGAAAACTAGACTTTTGAATATTTCTATTGCATTGCATTAAAGTAGATCAGTTAGCAACAGCTGAGTGCTGCGTTTGTCTTAATGTACCCTTCACTATAAGTTTCCGGTATTGTGAATCTTAGTATATCCTATATAAAATTAAAACATTTTTAATTTGAGCTATTATTAGTTAACACATTTGTTCCAATGTATAGTAACACATGATTTATTGACTACTCAGAAACTCCTTGAAAGAACCCGTGCCAGGCGAGAGAACCTGCAGAAGAAAATGGCTGAGCGGTCTAAGATGGGAGTGAGACCCACAATGCAGACCAAGAGGGTCAGAGAGCCTTTGTTAGAAACTGGTAACCAGGCACCTCTTCCTGGTGAAGAAGGTATTTTGCAACAAGTTTAATAAAGATTGTCTTTTGATACAAGTCCCATCTCCTTTTTCTCTAAGGGCAAGGGAAAACCCTTAGTGTTTATCTTAAATTAGACAGTGATGGATGCAGTTACCTGATCCCTACGCCTGAATATGGCTAATGATTAGCTTAATCTGACAGTAGATGATCAAAGTAATTAGTAAGCTATTTAAAAATAATTGTATAACGCCAAAGATTATGTGCCTTGTGCTTGGTAGAATTTGGGAAGGGCAGTTTTTTGGGAGGCGTATCAGGGTATTCATAAATCGTAACTTTATTTACAGTACAGTTTTGTTCTGTCTCTGAAAATATTTTTGGATTGTTTGAATACTAATTTGCTTGAATACTCTGACCTATACAGTGAAACCTGGTACAAAGCCATCACCATCAAAGAGGCTCTGCTCTAACAATATGGAGACTCAAGCTTCCAGTTCAGAGAACGTACAGCCAGTTCCTTCAAGCTCCACAAGCCATCATTCTCCTGAGATGACTTCAGAGTTGCATGTAACTACTTCTAACAGGGCTTTGTTGGTTCAGCCTCTTGAGAAAGGAAAAACAAACACCGGGTCAGAAACTCCTGCAGCCCTTTCAGTCAAAACACGTATGCAGAAACTGGCAGAGCAGCGACGCTGCTGGGATAGTGAGGGTAGGTTTTACTTGCTAAGTAGTATCGGTGTTTTTCAGTGTCTGCGTTGGTGATGATGTTTGCCAGCAGAAGGTGATCTTGTGTGTGTGAATGCTTATGTTTTCGTAAAGAATTCTTAGCACTGGGGAAGGCCCAAAATAATGAAACTGACTACAGCTTAATTTTATACATATTTTCCCTACTGATGTGATGCTTATCACAACAGTGACTTAAAAATAGTAAACTGCTTGGTTAAAAATGTGTTAAAAAATTGGTTAAAAATTGGCTTTGCAATGAGCTTTAGTTTAATGTGGTTATTCTCAATGCCTTTAGAGCTAGTAGCTTGAGTCTATTGATGGCAAGAACACCTAACTGTTGATAAATTCAACATATAGTGAAATGCAAAAGATGTAAATATATATCAATATATTTTATTAGCAAAATAAATGTATTTTCTTTTTTCCAGATCCCTCTGAATGTGTTGCTCTGTCTCCCCTCCAGTCAAAAGATCTGTCTGTTTCTCCACCTAAGCAGACATCTAATGCCCTGGCAAGTGATACCCCTATTGGGAGAAGAGGCCGTTTAGCTAACCTTGCTGCTACAATTGGTTCCTGGGAAGATGACCTAAGTCATCCATCTGCAAAGCAAAACAATACACAAGAACAGCCTGGCACTACTTGTTTATCCAAATTGTCCACTACAAGTGGAGCATCTGCTAGAATCAATAGTAGCAGTGTAAAGCAGGAAGCGGCATCCTGTTCTCAAAGGCTTGTTGAGGCTTCTGTTAATAATAAACCAGCAAACTCAAAGGCAGCGGTGAGTGTCTGATTTAGTTGCTGATTAAAAATTGATTTGAGTATTGAGGTGACAAATGTTAACTCATAACTCTTTAATCTGAATTTAAAGATTAGGTATGAGCAATCTTAGTCTATTTACAATTTCTGCTTTATTGCAATTCCACATGTCCTTTTTAACAGCAGACCTGAAACAGCTTAGAATCCCTTTTATTGAAACTTAGAGCTGAGTGTACTTACAAATCTTGTAAAAGTTGATGTCAAAGTACTTGATTGCTGCTCTTTTGACTGTCAGAAGGGGGCTTCTTACAGAGATACTTAGTTTCACTCTGTAACTTCATATACTTAATTGACTTAAATTGTAAATATTATTGCTGTATGAAAATTCAATCGGGATGTTGAAAATAGTAGTACCAGATACCTGTTGTTCAATTAATGCCATTTATGAAATGTCCATATCTGCCATGTGCAGCCTTGTTTAGGGAAATAGGGGAAAATATCTAAAGTAGCTGGCAAAAGCACCTGGATTCAAATGCTGAAGCAATTGGAAATGCTGGATTAAAAAAATCTATAAAAAGCTTCTAACAATTGCTCTCAGCTTTTTCTATTGTTGATGGAATAGGTGTATTATGTTATAGTATGCTATGCAGAATGCTTTCATTCTTTTTCCTCTTGAGAGAATAAGAATGTACAGTCTTGTTTTAATGCTATTTCTTTTTCTATTAAGGATCCAAATAATTTAACACAATCCTCAAGAGTCACTGTTCACTGTTTTAAGGAATCTGAAGTACGACAATTGATAACAGAGAATCCGTGCAGCCCTCAGAGAACTGAAAAGCATACACAAACAGCAAAACCAACTTTGCCTCAACCAGTTCAGTCCAAAGAAGAGCCAGTCAAAGGAACACATGTGCAACTTGAACCTAAGGGTAAACCCACAACACCAGGTAGGCTGTTTTTCAGCTTCAATAAATGTTCATTCAAATTAAGCTTATGTGTCCTGTGTTGAAAACTACATATTAGTTAAGAGTTTATGGTAACGTATCAGATAATTTCTAATTTCTATTTTTCCTGTAACTTGAGTAAAATCCTGAATTGGTCTGTGATAATTATTGTAAGTTGTACAGCTTCCATATTTTGCAGGGGCTTTTTCTTGGACATGGTTTCAGTAACTTTTGAGAGCAAAATCAGTCCAGCTTTTCTTTCTGTACAAATGTATCCTGCTAACACCAGTTAATTGAGACTATTCAAAGCTTCTTTCAAATTGTTGGATACTATAATATCCAATCTATATAAGCTAAAGAGCCTGCATATGTTAGAAGAAATCAAAGCTAAATGCTAACATAGATGCTCTACCTTTGCATAGTGTCTGTCTTTTCAGAGGTAGCACTGATGTTGAAACAAGTGACTGTCCCTAGTTTTGAACTCAACTGCTTGTTGGGTCAGAAACTTGGACTAACAGCCTGAAGTCTTGCCTCTAGAGCAAGTGTGTGTCTCTAGATATGCTAGAGTAAAAGTAAAAAACAAGCTCAGTAAAGTGGTGTGGATGCCAAACAATGTATCTGCCTTATGTACTAGAATGCTCATTTACATGAAGGATGCAAGTGAGGCTGGTTGTAGAGGAAATGTTGAAAAAGCAAACCACTCGTTTAAGTGGTGGATCATGCATGGACTTTAGCAAGAGAAGGACATCTATTTGCTCTGATTTGCTGCTTTATTAACTTCAATGTTCTGTTACTGTGGTGATTTGCACTTCAGGTTCAGTTTGTATAAAGTATAATGGAGTACGAGCTGTAAAGGAGAGGGATTAACTGAGAACCTTCAGCAGGATGCAAAATTGCAGTGATTTCTTTCAGTATTTTTGAGAGTTTCTTTCAAGGCAAAACAATTGTCCTTGTAGGGGGATCAGGAATTAAGCCCTTCCTGGAACGCTTTGGGGAGCGCTGTCAAGAGCGTAGTGCACGGAGTCCTGCTACAAATACTCCAGGGTGCAGAACACCCATTGTTACCCCAAATACAAGGACAATCCAGGAAAGGCTTCTCAAACAAAATGAAAATTCCTCTACTGCCAGTTTAGCGCTTCAGCTTAAACAGGTATGACTTGCTACATTCATAGGTTGTTGATAAGCTTGGGGAAGATTCTTACTGTTCTGCACCTACCTGAGGAATTTGAAATGTTTTGACATCTTAAAGCTGTCAGCTTTTCCCTTGATCCCCTTTATTTGCTTAGGAACGTGAACGAGAACTTGCATGCCTTCGTGGCCGGTTTGATAGGGGCAATCTGTGGAGTGCAGAGAAAAGTGAAAGTTCGAAGAGAAAACTTCCAGAAGCTAAAATGGTAATGTGTTACCTCTATGTATCAGAAGATGATAGTCTGTGAATTAACATGTTCTGAACACAGGGATAGATGTGCATGTAAATAAAAGACAAAAACTTATGCTTTATGAATGCCTAGGCTGTGCAAGACTGCTTGTCAAGTGTATTGTAAGATTATTAACAAATTATTAGATCTTTTTCTTCTCGCAGAATCAAGTAAGGAGACAAGTGATATTGCTTTAAGCCAATTGATTGATTTATTTTTTGATGATGTTGAATGTGGTTTTCTTATATTCTGTATCTTTAAAAACAAAAGAAAGCTCCTCACACAAACACTGAATTTAGTATTTAGTACTTAAGCCGAATTTCTTACATAAATAGGATCCTTCTTGATAGGATAGGCAACTTCTTTTTCCTAGCAGGTGTTAAAATGTGTTTCCTTCTGGCAGTTTTTTTTAGACACTTTGAACATTACCTCCTGAATGTACTGTTTTTATTTTTGCCAGGAAAGCCAATCTCGGGCTAGTCCAAAACGTCCTCCTAGTTCAGATGCCACCGCTTTTGGATCAGCAGAAGACACACCAGCAGGTGAAAGACTAGCAAAGTCTCCCAGTGTGGAGTCCTCAGGTAAGAGCTGTTGCTGTTCACCTGTGACTAATACTGGACTGAAGCGCTGCCCTTGACGTTCGTGAGCAGATAACGAGGCTAGTAGCACTGATGTCTGGAACTGGACGTCTTATTTGGTTACTGATTTTTCTAAATCTTCTCGTATGATAATAATACTCTGCTATCCTATACCACTTGAAGGATTAGCAAGGAAAGACTGCCTTTCTGTTTCTCGGTGGACTTCCCTGAGTTTCATACTTCCATGTACGTTAAGTGTAGGAAGAGTGAATGAGAATTGTTAGTTACATATTTAATCTATACTGTACCCGAGTATCCAAACTTCCACAATAATCTAATGGGAGGGAACTCTTCCCTTGTCAGTACCCCCTTATGATATTAATTCTTATACTAGGGGTCACAAAAAGAATTCTGAGATGCTCATGATGTCCTTTCTGGTGCTTACTGAGTGGAAGAGCCTCCAGTTCTCTGTGAAAAAAGAGTGAACTTAGTTAATGCTTCTTATAGACATTATGGGCAAACAGGCTATCAAGTATGCTTCTAGAAAAACAAGATGATATCCTGCTCTTGGGTTGTGTTTGGGTGTCGTGGGTTTTGTGTGGTGTTTTTTTTTGTTTTTTAAATTTTCCCTTTTCTCTTGAGTGGCTGCACTCTACTGTGGTTTCAGCATTGTTTCTTGTGCTATCACAGTGTTCTGATTACCAGACAGAAGTCTAGCTGTACAGGTTGTAGAGGGTGTGTGTGCTAATTCTTTGACAGCGAGCTGACTGGAATACTTAATGTAGTGGGCTTCTTGTAAATTGTCAGCTATATTATCAAACTTCCAAAATCTAATAACAACAAAAAAAAAAAATTCAAAGGCTAGGCATAATCTTTAGTGACTACTTTTTTATAAACTACTTCAGATGCTCCTAAACGTGAAGAGACTGATAAACCCAGTCCTCTGAAGATCACTGAGCCAAAGAGCCCCATAAAAACGATGTCTGTCTCAACACTTGAACAACTTGCTGAGAAACCAAAAGGTTTGTATTGATTAGATCTATATTAACGCACTTAGCTGTATGTTGTGACTTGTCCAGAGGAAAGTTAATATCCTTCAAGTCTGAACAATGAATTCATCATACATCTGCTGACATTTGTTGTGTGTTTTGTAATGAGGTTTATATAAAACAAGTCAGGAAACTTCTTTTAATCATAGCCCTTCTCTCCTGACATTCAAGTCTTCAAGGAATATTAAAAAGCTGATATTAAAAGTTTATTGGGAAAGGACAGATATGACTACTATGGGACTTGCAGTTAAGTTTCAGACCTGTTTGAACTAAGATGTTGAAACTTGTTAGACAAGTGCATCTTTTTATTCCCTCTCTGTATCGATTATGTGATATAAGTATACTTTAGGCTTCTGTATGCCTGATGAAGTGCAACAGCTGGCTTATCTTTTTGTTCATTTAATTAGAATGAAGAATTTAGTCTTGATGCTACTAATATTTTTAAAACATCACTCTTCAGGTGAAGGATATGAAATAGAAATGAGTGTGGATGATGAGATGAATAGCTCAAAAGTGATAAACGAAATTTTTGAAGTTCTTCAAGAGGATGGTCCAGACATAGAAAAGCTGAAGAAAGAAATGAGCATGAGCCTGGAAGGTGAAAGTGATGAGGATGAGCAGGAAGAGTCACTGAATATTTCATCAATGTCTCTGCTAACCCCTCTAGTGGAATCTGTTGGTCCAGAGGTGAGAGTTCTTAGGAGGTGTGGAAAGGCTTGTTTATCACATAGATGTACAATTTGCTTGTGAACAGTGATATCTTCTTGTATTGTGATACCTGGGCAAATACAGAAGTTAAAAATGACATTTTGATAATGAAAACATAATGAGGTAAAGTTATTTTCCTCTGAAAAGAGCATAGCATATTGGATGCTCTGCTAAACAAATGGTTTAACTTCTGCTAAATCAAGCTCTCGAGTATATACATCTATTACCTGTGCTGGACTTCCAGTGGTATACATGCATTCAGTGAAGTGGTTACTGATGAAAATCTGAAGAGAAGTAATTAGTTTCCAAACTGGTACAGATACATAAAGGTGAAATCTTGAGTTCAAGGATCTATTGGTGTCTTTAAAATAAATTAATAATTTAGCTTGCTCCGTGTTCTAGGAAATATTTGTAAAATGTCTGTTAAATAGTATTAAGCAGCCTCCAAACCTGCTGTTTATATGCAAAACAAGTAAAGGTGAGAGAAAACAGATAACGATTAATGTAGACAGATATCTGTAATACAACTTTTTCTTCTCCTCAGGCCTTTGTTTCTCCTTGTAAGTCAACTGGTGAAGGTAGCAGTATCAGTGATGTAAGTCTGAAGTCTGAAAAGTTCCAAAGGACTAAAGTCCCCAGGGCAGAATCTGGAGACAGTATTGGCTCTGTGTCAGAAGATCGCAATCTTCCCTATAGGTAATAAACACAAAAAAACCTCCACCTGATTCTGTAGGTGTGCAAATTAAGACACTGGCTTAATGTCTTAATTATGTCTTATTAATGTAACACTCTTCTAATGAAGCATAATGCTTAAACTGCTTTTTTCCAAGATCTCAGCCGTTATCAAAGACTGTTTCTGTTTAGTCTTTATGTTGCTTAACCTTAAAATACGCTGACAGAATGCTTTTTTTAAGCCATTTAGGCAAGTTGGAAAACATCAATACCTGATTTAAACATATGAATATAAAAAAATAGCTTGTCACACCTGTGAAACATTTAATGGGGTTTCCTCTTTTAAAAGTGTTGATGCATATAGATCTCAAAGATTTAAAGAAACCGAGCGTCCTTCAATAAAGCAGATCATTGTTCGCAAAGAAGATGTTGCTTCCAAACTAGAAATGAAAAAGAATGGCCCATCTGATCAAGTTAATATCAAAAAGAAAATGCAGGTACTTTTTAAAGTCCTTTTTATAATTTATTATTTGCTTACTTAATTTCTCCTGTGAACGTCCAGGACATTAACATACTGCTTAGAACTGCAAAATTACATGGTTTAGCATAAATATCTAACGGTAGGGAATGATACTACATAATTTGAACAGCTACCACATCTCTTAGAAGGGTCATGCTATAGAGTAAGCCTGGAGAGAACAAACCATCATTTTGAGAAGGGGATGGGGAATCTCTATCTTATTACTCCCTTTGAATTAGGCAGGATTCATAAATGCATACTTTCAGTAGGCAACATTCTGATCTTTACTGGTATCTCGTTCTCCTACATTGCTGAATTTCTGGTTAACTGCTGCTTACCCCGGTGAAGGGAAGATTAGACTGGATATGGAGCGTACAAACATTGAAGTTGTTCACTCCCCACCATATTTAAATTACCTCTGAGGTCAAAAAAAGTTGTGCTGCAATATTCTTTTGCAGAAGTAACTGTAAACCACAACATTTTTGTAGTTCACTAGCTAAATGGTCTGATTTTTCTGAAGCATAGCTACAAAAATGCTAATCTCAAAACGTTTCCTTGTTTGAATGTAACACTAAATCTTTCTCTTCTTGCTATTTATTTTTACTACTGGTTTACTCCAGGAGCTGAATAATGAGATCAACATGCAGCAGACAGTGATTCATCAAGCCAGTCAAGCTCTGAACTGTTGTTTTGATGAGGAACATGGAAAAGGGTCACAAGAAGAAGCAGAGGCAGAGAGACTTCTTCTCCTTGCAAGTAGGTTTTTAGACTTAAGTTCAATTCTTTGTCATGAACACTTTGGGAAGAATTGATGAACTCTGGCAATGCATTTGTTATGCTACCTTGTAGCTGCATATTTATAGTTTATCACCTGGAAAACAGGAGAGGGTAATATCTGTTCTGTCTCAGCCTCTTCTATAGGCAAGAGGACATTTTTGGTATCTTTCTTGTCACACACAGAATCACACAGAAACACTAGGTTGGAAAGGACCTTCAAGATCATCAAGTCCAACCATTAATCCAGAGCCACCATGTCCCCTAGACCATGTCCTGAAGCGCCACATCCACACGTTTCTTGAACACTTCCAGAGATGGCGACTCTACCCCCTCCCTGGGCAGCCTGTTCCAATGCCTGACCACCCTCTCAGTGAAGAAATATTTCCTAATATCCAATCTAAACCTCCCCTAGCGCAACTTGAGGCCATTTCCTCTTGTCCTATCACTAGTTACTTGGGAGAAGAGGCCAACCCCCTCGTCGCCACAACCCCCTTTCAGGTAGTTGTATAGAGCGATAAGGTCTCCTCTCAGCCTCCTCTTCTCCAGACTAAACAACCCCAGTTCCCTCAGCCGCTCCTCATAAGACTTGTGCTCCAGACCCCTCACCAGCTTCGTTGCCCTTCTCTGGACACGCTCCAGCACCTCAACATCCTTCTTGTAGTGAGGGGCCCAAAACTGAACACAGTATTCAAGGTGCGGCCTCACAATTTGTCCCTCATATTCTTACTATTCTGGAAGATGATTAACATTTCTGTTGCATTTTACATACTTATGGCAAAAAAACCTGTTCAGTACTACTTTTTCATGTTACAACTAATAATTAACTAATTTCCCTATGCAGCTGAGAAGAGAACTGCTTTATTGGAAGAATTGAATAAACTGAAGAGTGAGGGACCTCATTGTAAAAGAAATAAAGCTGCTTCTACATCCATGGAATTTGCTCCATCCAGGGGATCTGTTTCCATTTCAGAAATGCGTCTACCTCTAAAAGCAGATTTTGTATGCGGTACAGTTCAAAAGCCAGGTAAAACTAGCAACTGAAAGCTTTACCCTTTCCCTCCCTCGTCCCCTATCCTCCCTACATATATTTCCTGTTCATTCTCCTTGGTTTTTTTGTCTTCTCTGTTGGTGTTTCTCAGAACTGTGGGGTCCACGAAAACTTGGCAATTACATTTAATTGATCTGCTTTTTGGCTATGTTTTCAATACTTTCCATGGTGGTTTTAGTTGCATCCTTTGCTGGCTTGTGAGGTTCAAGACACTTATCAAGACTTTCCCAGACAGTCTGAAAGTTCTTTGTGGTTCTCTGTAACCTGTTGGGGAGGGAGTGGAATTTTGTATCTCATGTTGTCTCCCCTCTTGCTGCCTTGGAATTTTTTCGATGGATGCAAGTCTAGTACTAAATACCATCACATAAATTCTGACCTCTGTGATGGTGTGAAGTTTTTTTCAGTCCTTCTGTTAACATCCAAAAATACTTAATTTACAAAGACTATTCTTCCATTATGTTGTCATATTTAAGTCATTAAAGTATTAAAATGTGGATTTGTTTCTTCTTTTGTTCCAGAGGAATATCTGGCAATATCCCTCTGTAGGTCTAGAGACTTATCCTGGAACATTGTAAGCTTCTGTCATGTGGCTGTTTAAAGAATCTGCAAGCCCACAATAATCAGGGCTATTTTATCATTCTGTGGCATTATATAGTAGCTAGACAGGTTACTACTTCTTGCCTCATTAAAACTTGAGGACAAAAGTCATTAGACAAAGTCTTTTTTTAATATTGGTTGCAAAACTTTTTCTGAGGAATTCATATGTAGCCTTTCTTATTTTCTCATTTAACTATCCTATGAAACTTAAAAGTGTGTCTTTTTTATTTTCAAATAAAGCCACAGACAAGAATATAAGTGTAAATACCTGACTTAATTTACCACCACCACCACCCCACTCCCGGATGCTACCGTTCTTGTTGCATGGGTCAGTTCATCTCTGTTATAGGAATGCCCCTCTAGTGGTTGCAAAAGTATAAGTTTAGATCCTATCAGTAATTCTCAAAACCAAATTGTCTGAACAAACAACTATGAACTATTTGTCATCAAAACTTTATTCTGGAAGTGCAGCATTTGTCATACATTGTGCACTAGAAGCTCTATTGATCACTTTCATCTCTGAAGAGAACATCAAATATAAAGAGTACAAATCAATGCTTACTGGAGTCTTCAACAGTTGTTCTGACAGCTGTGACTTGTCCTATACAACAGAGCACTTGAACTGTTCTGGGATTTTTTTAACATGGTATGATATTATGCAATGCTATTGCTATACTGTTCAACAAGTTGCTGCACAAACTCCGAATAATCACCTGACATGTCTACTTGTGGTTGTCTTTTTTTTTTTTTTCCCCTTTGTGTGAAAAGTTAGGGAAATTAATTGCCTGGATAACAGTTCCTTCATAGGACTGAAAAAAACCATGAGAACAGGCAATAGCAAAAGCTGATGTATGATTAAGCTGGCAGGCCTAGAGAATAACAACAGAGCGTAAGGAACTAAGATTAACTGCTGAATATGACTGAAAGTTCTTCCTATTCCCTCTGATGCACTGGGTAGTGTAGGTCTGGCCTGAGATGCTCCAGGCAGTAATGCATTTGTTGTGAATCCTGTGGAGACAGTCCTACTAGTGGACACAGTAGGAAAAACCCCTTGTTTTAAGAGTAAGTTTATAAGCAAATCTTGACTGTAATCAGGTGTTTAAGTGGGGTGGAAGAGAGATGTGTTTAATAGCAATGCAGTACTTGAGTGTTTTTAGATACTTGGACACCTCTGGCTAACAAAACCATCTGGTATGTATTTACAGAAGCAGGAAATTACTACTATGTAATTATACTGAGATCTGGAGCAGAAAACATGGTTGCAACTCCATTAGCAAGTACTGCCAGCTCCCTGAATGGAGATGCCCTTACTTTTACTACGACATTTACTATGTAAGTATAAAGAAACTGCTTTGGAACTAGTTTCAACTCTGATGGTGGAGCATGCATAAAAAAGTTTAAAATCTTCATATAAGGATGTCAAATTCTGCAAACAAATACAGTGAGATCTTATGGTATGGGTATTTCTTCCTTCAAGAAACGGCTGGAATGCACTTTTCTCAAAAGAGCAATCTAGATTTATTCTATCATCCATCAGCTAATTTATCTCTTGCTTTTTCTACTTTTGTTCTCCCCTAGAACACCTGCAATGACAGATGGATTGCTCTGCCTGAGATTATGTGTTTCTTCTCTTTTGCAGCATCTAATATTTTATATAGCTCTTTGGTTTTGGTATCTGGAAAAAATAATGCTTTTAAAACTAAAACTTCAACTCACATATGCTAGCTAAAAAGGTGTTGTGAGTTCAACAGTTCAACGGCTGTTTGTTAGCAAAAGTCTTCCAAAATAAATAAGCAAACTCCCTTTTTAAAGTCCAACTCAACTGGAATTTTCACTTAAAGCTGTTTACTCAAAAACCCCAATCTCTGTTTCTAGAAATGTGTGCCAGCAAGTGGACTGAAGGGTGCAATCTGAGAAATGGTAGATGCACTCTATCTGCCCCGTGTCTTCCCTCCCCTTTTGTTCTTTGAGTTCTAGAAAATGTCTTCAAATAGTAATACACTCAATTCTTAAAAACAGCAATGCTGCTTGCAGTGAAGAGTACTATTGTAGAACTGAAAGGATCTCAAACAGCCCTGTTGGCCTGCAGGAACAAACTAGGAGTTACTAGTAAGAGATTAGCTATTAGTCAGCACTATGGCTAAGCTTCTCTTTTGTGTAGAATCTAGCTGCTCCCTGGATAGTTTTAAGGAGCAGGAGGACGGAAGTAGTAAAAAGTAACTTTAAAAAACCAAAAACCCCTTTTTGCTTCAGTCTGTGTTTAACTTATTTTTTTCCCCCTCCTCCCTTTTAGGCATGATGTGTCAAATGACTTTGAAATAAATATAGAAGTTTACAGTTTGGTATGTATCAGTTCCTGTCCAGAGGATGTGTAAGGGAGAGTGATGTGCTGTACTTTCTTAATACCTCCTTGCGTTACAGGTGCAGAGAAAAGAAGTTACAAGCACTGATAAAAGGAAAAAGGCAAATAAATCTAAGGTAAATGAAACATGAAAATCAGTATGTTGTATTTCAACAGAAGGTATACTAGGAAGACTGCAGTGTTCAGGGAGAACTGACTGAGTCTTAGACAATCTGTTGCTTGCGTTTACTCTTCTTATTCTTCCTTGGAACATCTGCAACGACAGATGGGTTATGGAGTCCTGCAGCTATTAGTGGATTGGACCTGCAGCACTTGGTTGAGTCTGACATATATTGGAGTGGAAGGAGAAGTAGTCTTACCAGTTCTGCAAAATGCATTGCAAACTTCTATTCATTAGGTGTGGTGCCTCTGATAGTGATTTAGTGCACTTATTCTCCACTTTACTTAAACTACACCAGTCAATATGCCCTACCCTGCAGTTTGATTTGTCTTAATGGTTCTATTGATCAACTGCCACACTTCTCTTTGTTCCCAGTATTAAGCAAAAGCACCAGATGCTTACTTTTTTTAAAGCAAACATTGTTCTAATAACTCCTTGGACATAAACGTTTCAGCTTGGATAGTGTGCACATTTCAAGTGTTAATGCTTTACTAAGACTTTGTGACCCCAAACAAGCCAGTGGCTTTGTGGAGGTGCTGTGTTTTGGGTTGTTTTTTTCTTGTCATTCCAATATCTGGGCACACAGTCTATTAACGATTTTAGGTCTGATTTCCTCCTTGTCAGGATATCTGTCACTTAATAAAAACAAGGAGCTTGAGAGTCTTTCAAAACAGTTGGAAGCAGACTTCCACTTATCTCCTAATAAAACCAGTTTGAAGTCCAGGGTTTCTTTCTCTCCTGTGCTGTAGTTTAGAGGAATCTTTACTTAAAACTGAACGTTTTTGTGGCATTGTAGGTAAGTTGCTGATGTGGGATTATAGGTTTGCTGATGGCATCCTCTATCTGCTTTTTGACAAGCTGCTTATACCTGTCTTTCAGCTTTGAGAATAGATGAGTACATAATTCCAGTTCATGTTTAACATACAATTTCACTTAAACTTTGAGGTTTTTCATCTGAAAATACAGATAATGTACAACAGTAGCACACTGAACATTTCTGTACTGGTGTTATTAAGTGTTATCTTTAATAAGCAAATGTAACTTTGAAACCCTGTATGTGAACGAAAAAGGTCTACTAAGATTGGGTTTTTTCAAACACATGTTGTCTATCCCAAGCTAATGCATACTTAAACTTTTCTGCAATAAATATTTCTTTGATATGTGACATTCCTTCCACTGAAATGCATTACATTCAGACAAAACACAAGACTTACTCATTACAACTAGTATCCATTCAAAATTTATTTAGATAAGCCTTCAGTAGTTTCACTGTCCAATTTTCACGCTAATGTGATGGACAAATTCAGTAGCAAATACATTTATCTTCTCATATTCTTTTGCAGGTTATTACTCCAAAGAGATTATTAACATCTATTACCTCTGTAAGTATGAATGTAATATTGTAACAAGATCCGGTTATGACCATATTCTCACACTAAATAAGGCTGTGCGCATAGTAGGCTCTTTGTGTCCCTTACTAGAAACCCTACAAACTGTCCAGCTTTCTGCCAAACTCTTCAGCCATCAGCTCAAGAAATACGTAACAGCTCTACATATGTAATGCTGGAAATACACAGTTACTACACATTTGAAGAGAAGGCTCTGGGGACACCTTATTGCAGCCTTTCAGTACTTAAAGGGGGCTTATATGAAAGATGGGGACAGACTTTTTAGCAGAGCCTGTTGCAGTAGGACAAAGGTTAACAGTTTTAAACTAAGAGTAGATTTAGATTAGATGTAAGGAAGAAATTTTTCGCAATGAGGGTTGGTGAAACACTGGTACAGGTTGCCCAGAGAGGTGGTAGATGCCCCATCCCTGGAAACATTCCAGGTCAGGTTGGATGGGGCTCTGAGCAACCTGATCTAGTTGAAGATATCCCTGCTCGCTGCAGGGGGGTTGGACTAGATGACCTTTAAATGTCCCTTCCAACCCAAACTATTCTATGATTCAGTTTGACTTTCTTTTCAAGTTGTTTTTACTTTATTTGTGTTTGTTGTTTTTTTTTTTTAAGTACTTCAGATCTAGTTTCTTTCTAACCTATCTTAGTCCTCAGTAGAAATTGTCAGAAGTTACTTTTCCACTAAGGTTTATTTTTCTCTCTCCCCCCCGCCCCCCACCACCCACAGAAAAGCACCCTTCTTACTCCAGGTAAGTAAAATCTAAATATCTTATGCCAAGATGAGTAGTCTAAAGTTGCTGTCTAAAGCAGTATATCAACAAATAATACTTGTAAGAGATGATAATGTGGGAGTAATAAACACAGAATTATGTCAGTTTGCCAGTCCAGAAACTGGCCTTGTGCTTTTATCTAAGTTACCACTATGTTCAATGGAAGATCTCTTCGCAAAATCAAAGTTAGTATCTAGTATCAGATGCCCGTGGCTAAAATCCTTTTCCTGGAAAAGGTGAACTGAAACAAATTTCAAGATTTTAAACTAGAGTCTGATGTCAACAAATACAGAACAAACTTGAAAATATGAACAGATTCTGAAGTATAGCTTGTGCTTTGTGTATTTTGTTTTTAATATGTTTATATATTTCTGACTCTTGGGGGAGAAGAACAGCATCTCTGAGTGTTTTTCTAACTACATGAAAATGCATTATACACTTGTCTGACTACAGTATGAGATACTTGAGCTAGCTTTAGTACAAATTGCAGCAATAAGGAGTTTATGAACTAATCATGGAATGTCTACCATGCTGCTGCAATTAGTCAAATTCCTGTGCCCGAGCTATAGTGCGTGTTTCTATTGATACAAGTGCAAAGAAGAATATGGGCATACAAATGCCAGAAGACTGCAGCATGTCATTTGAAGAGGTTAAGAGTCAAACTCCTACTGTAGAGCATGTGCGCTCTGTAGTGTGCCCTAAAGTGTTCTCTGTCCCCCTGAGAATTCCAAAAATGCCTTGTCTTCTCCTTTGTGAATATTTCAAAACTTCTTTCTGAAAGAAAAGATCTACTAGGAGGAATGGTATGCACCAAGATCCTGTCTGAATGTGCTGTTGGGCTGCACTGCAAAGAGTGCCTCTCCTGGAATACTAAGTAGGGCACACATACATTAGTATAAATAAATACTTTTTTAAGCCTTGCAGTATCCTGATTGTGTGTTGTGTTATGACTTCTTTCTCCGCAGCCATGGCCAGTCCAGGTGGCCTGAATGCTCTACGCACTACTAATTTCATCCTTGTTGGGTCCCACAAGCTATCACTGTCTTCTGTAGGAAATGCCAAATTTGCATTGGACAAGGTAATGGAAATTATTGGTTACTAATACAAAGGTAATTGCATACTACTAGAAAAACAAATATGAATCTGGGTTTACTGTTTCCAGGAGAAATTACCATCCTAGAAATGAAGCACATAAGTTTATATATATGGGTTTTTTTTATATATATATATATAAAAAAATTTTATGTATAGTTGTTGTTACTCAAATTTAATATGACTGAAATGTAATTTTGAGTTACAATAGAAAAAGACTTATGTTATTATGCCAGATGTTCTTTCTTTTCTGTAGCTCAATGTAGGTTATGGTTATGCAAAGATAATGAAGGCATTTGGTTACTGATTTGCTTTCACTGACAAAAAATTGATGTATACAGTTAGCATCTCTGTACATGGTCTTCGTATTGTTCATTGCCTTTAGAGCCTTGCAGTTATCACTAAATAAGACATTTAGTGTGTTTTAATGATAATGAAGTATTTGAGATTTTATGCCTTTAAGTGATTTAAAAATTACCATTTGAATATAGCAGGGAGTATGAGTTTCCTTTCATATCACAATTACATTTGTAGAAGCAAACTATTTTAATATTTTTGAAAGAGAGCTATTATAAAGTTTTATACCATTAGTTCCTTGTGTAAACAGAGTATGCTTACTTGCTCTTACAAGAAGTTAACAAATACATTCTTACATCCACTGTAATCTCTAACCTTGTAATATCTTATACCTAAAACCTATTTTAATACGTGTTTATGCCAGCAGCTATCCTGAAATAACTTAAATGAATTCAAAAATTACTACAGATTATGGTAGTACTAAATTACAGCTTTATCCAAATAGCAGCGTTAAGAATACATTTTCTTCCTGGCTAATTAAGCCTTATTGTGATGATAGTAGTATTGCAATTATAGCTTCTGATGAGAGATGAGATAACAAGAATTGGTGGTGCTTGTGCACAAGAAAGAACAAAATATCGCAATAATCCCAGCTTGCTTTTTCGAAGTTTTACTTTTTGAGGCTAGAAACAGAATCCTTTACTGAAACAGTTTGCAGAACTTAGCAGTTGAATTGCACTGCTGTTAATGACTGTGTGAACTTCAGAAGTACCAGCTGTGGTTTTCAGCATAAATGTTCCTCTTAACCAGAAACATGTGTAGAAATTTTATTTTGTGTATGGCTTGGTGATTGGAAACCCCTTGTTCTTGGAGTTATGGGAATCAGCTTTTACATTAAATTCAGCAATTTGGTTTTGAACTTTTTTAGTCTACTCTTTAGGACAGGACACTGGACTGGACTAGTAAATTGTAGCACAAGCACAAAGTTCAAATAGAATTCCAGGGAAACCATCACTTGATTACATTTTTCCAGGTGTAAACTTCAACAGTTATGAGTAAGAATTCCCTTTTTGTTAGAAAATTTAACAAAAAAGAGTTATCACCTCTGTAAAGCTTCAGTTTTGACTTGGCCTGTGGCTGTACCAAACAGCTGCTTTTTAACTTGCTCCATGCATTTCTAATACGGAACAAACTGCTGCCACAGTGGGTTTTTTTAAGTTTTATTCCTCCCTTTTATATGCACTATTAAAATTCAGTATATAAAGGACCAAAATTTACTCAGGTATAACTGTCTCAATTTTTTTTAATGTTAACTTTACACTAATCACACTGAGCATGTTTCTTTTTTTCCCTTAGATAAATTTTGAAGGGGAGGAAAAAGAACTCTTGGGCTATATGTTCCAGGACAAGGTTGCTATAATCCGTTAGTTTATAACTTAAAATAGGAAACTGCTTCCTAGTGCATGTTGCTCATGTCTGTCTGGCCTTTTTGCAGTATTTATTTTTTAATTCTGCTTGTAAGAAAATGCTTACAAAGATTTACTAATTAAACATAAGATGTTAGGAGCCTTTAAGACTTGCAAAATTCTACTCCCTGTCTTTTACAAGAACTCAGTTATTTAGCCACCTAGGGTTTTTCCTTTAGTAGCATGTGTCTTTTGTCTTCCTAGATCACTAGAGGAGAGTTTTTCTTACTTCAAAACAAATCAATGCATCTCTTAAAGATTGCTAGTCAGGAAATTTGAGCCAACTTCTTGATGAACTGCACAGAACATAGAATCAGCTACTCTACTGATGGAAAATCACTCAGGAGCTAAATCTCTTGATTTTTATTCTATTGAGACCTTGTTCTGTCAAGACCTTTCATGACCTTTGTTTTCTAAGCAAAAAGTGATCATAAAGAACTAAAGTTTTGAAAATGCTAAACACACCAAAATACGAGGTTCTTATTTGTACATAAATGTATAATTGAAATATTTTGCTTTGCAGATACATTTTTTGGCTTTAGGAATTACATAAATTGATACACTTAAAAGAATTTATTTGTCTTTAATATCTGAAAATAGTTTTATTTAGTTAATAGTTAACTTGGATCACTCAGAAGAGTGTTTTATATAACTTTACATATGTTTTCTCTCAAAATTAAGCAGGTGATAATTTTAGTGTCTATCATCTCCTATTTGTAATCAAACGTCCCCCTAAGAAACCAATTTTTTGCAAATTCTTGAGAGTTATCTTAAGTATCTTTACAGATAATCTTCTGTGACAGTAAGCCAACTTCTTAAGATGTCTGAATGACCACACTAGAATGCTAGCTAGCCTAGTCATGGGCTTTAGTTTTCTCTTCATCTAGCTGGATATTCAACAAATTGCTTGCTTTCTTCCACCTCTGCCCCACTTGCCTTTGAAAGGGATATATTGTAATGAGAATATATTACATTCTAGTCAATGTGTACAGGAGGGTGTTTTGAGACCTGCTTTGGTGATTAGTAATAGTGTTGTAGGCTCCGCGTAACTGATATGTTCAGTTTGTTATACAGCCTTTGTGCTTTATGGTAACACAGCTCTTCACTGGCAAACTTCAAAATCCACAAAGCAGTTTCTTTTGTCCTGACATAAATTAGAAAGGAATGCGAAAACCACAAACATGAAGTGGGGAATTGGCCAAACTTCCTTCAGGCCCTCGTTCAGAAATGGATTTCACTGTGGCTTGGGAAGTTATAAGCCAGTGTTCCCTGGTGTATCATGTAGGGTTATAGTTGTCTTTACTGGTAAAAATCCAGGACTGATGCAACTTATTTCTATTGTGTGCAAACATTTTACTATTTTTGCTTCTCAAATAGTTATGCAGACTCATACCTGGTGCTCAAAATTTTGCTGTGTTGTACTGTAGGGGCAAGTACATGAGCAAGCCATGCATGCTGTCTTAGTTGAGTAAATCTAATGTGTAAAAATGATTTCATCACCTGCTTGTGCACACATGTATCGTGTCTGGGAGGAAGCTGTGGTATGCCTACAATTCAAAAGCAATCGATTTCTAACCATAAATCTGTTTCAGTGTTCTGCAGGGTTTGCTGAGGCCTACAGATGTACACTTTTAACTACTGAGGATTATTCTTGTTCATCTTAACCAGGAGCAAAATTTAATTCCATTTGATCAACATTGATTCCATGGCTCTAAAAGCTACTCAGGGCTTAGATGGCTGTACTCTTCGCTGGGTAAAAAACTGGCTGGATGATCAAGCCCAAAGAGTTGTGGTGAATGGAGTTAAATCCATTTGGGGGCGGGACACAAGCGGTGTTCCCCAGGGCTAAGTTTTGGAGCCAGTCTTGTTTAATATCTTTATCGATGATCTGGATGAGGGGATTGAGTGCTCCCTCAGTAAGTTTCCAGATGATATTAAATCGGGTGGGAGTGTTGATCTGCTCGAGGTCAGGAAGGCTCTGCAGAGGGATCTGGACAGGCTGGATCAATGGGCCGAGGTCAGTTGCATGAGGTTTAATAAGGCCAAGTACCGGGTCCTGCACTTGGGTCACAACAACCCCATGCAGCTCTACAGGCTTGGGGAGGAGTGGCTGGAGAGCTGCCCAGTGGAAAAGGACCCTGGGGGTGCTGGTTGACAGCCGGCTGAACATGAGCCAGCAGTGTGCCCAGGTGGCCAAGAAGGCCAACAGCATCCTTGCCTGTATCAGAACTAGTGTGGCCAGCAGGAGTAGGAAGTGATCGTGCCCCTGATGAGGCTGTACCTCAAATACTGTGTTCAATTTTGGGCTCCTCACTACAAGAAGGATGTTGAGTTGCTGAAGCATGTCCAGAGAAGGGCAACAAAGCTGGCGAGGGATCTGGAGAACAAGCCTTATGAGGAGCGGCTGAGGGAACTGGAGTGGTTCAGTCTGGAGAAGAGGAGGCTGAGGGGAGACCTCATCGCTCTCTACAACTACCTGAAAGGGGGTTGTGGTGAGGTGGGTGTTGGTCTCTTCTCCCAAGTAACTAGTGATAGGATGAGAGGAAATGGTCTCAAGTTGTGCCAGAGGAGGTTTAGATTGGATATTAGGAAAAATTTCTTCACTGAAAGAGTGGTCAAGCATTGGGACAGGCTGCCCAGGGAGGTCGTGGAGTCACCATTACTGGAAGTGTTAAAAAAACCGAACATGTAGACGTGGCACTCTGGGACATGGTTTAGTGGGCATGGTGGTGTTGGGTTGACAGTTGGACTTGATGATCTGAAAGATTTCTTTTCCAACCTTACTGATTCTGTGATTCTACTTCATTATTTTGTACACATGCCTACTCCCTGGCAAATGGTTCATTCTTTGTATTTGAGCAGCACCATCAACCTTTCTGTGTTTTCTAGTAAGACAAAGCACCAATGTTTCTGATTTTTTTTTTTCCTGCAATATTCATACAGTAATGCTTGTTCAGATTAGCAACAAAATATGGTATGTAGAATGCCCTGCAGATCAGCATTTGCTTGTTGAATTATTGGTTTGTCTCTTGGCTTCCTGGTGGGGAAAAAAGAAGGGATGTAATTACTTGACAGTAGCAGTGGGAGCGCTCAATGTAATGCAGTGCTACGTATGGAGGTATTGGGGGAAGGACAAAGGCAGTCCTTGTTGCAAAACTCTTGAATATTGAATAACCATTTAACGAACTTCTGGAACGGTAGTTACGCTGCTTGGTTTTTTTCAGTGGTAGAAGTTCGGGCTTGGAACCTCTTTTGTTAGAGATGATTTAACACAGGTTTTCAACACCTTGAGTGCCAGTTAAGACCTGCTTTCATTACTTTTTCTGCTTCTAGTTTTTTTGTACAAATATTTAACTGAGTAGGCACTACTACATCAGTATCTATCAAAAATGCTTATGGCATCCAAATACCAATCCTGTTTAAGCCCACTTTGATATTTTCCAAACAGTTTAATGTCAAACTGAGGCAGAAGCTTGCAGGATGTGGACTGGTGCCTTGTGTTGTTTTTAACCATGCTTGGAGTGCCTGTTTTTCTAGATAGAAGCATGTTTGTGCATATGTCCTGAGCAAACTAATAAGTCTTGAAAAGCTTCTAAATAAACTCAAAGCAAAAAGTGATTATTACTGTCTTGCTTGAGACTGACCGCTTTTTTTCTTTTGGCTGAAGATCCTAAGAACAAGACAGTGCTAACTGTCCTGGTGCTGGTAGCTTGCTTGAACTGGTAGAGTTGAGAGGTATCAAAATTAAATGACGAATTGTTTTACTTTTTGCAGGTTCCCTTTTTGTCTCCTTTGGAAGGTCACATATATCTAAAGTTAAAATGCCAAGTGGACTCTTCTGTGGAGGAGAAAGGGTTCTTGGTAGGTATTCATTTCAAATTACTTTGTTGGAAATTATGGGTCCTATTAAATGTAGTCACTTTAACTTCACACATGTATTTGTAGTAATTGTGAAGCCTAAAACTGGCTGGATTCTTGGTTTTTTGCTCTCTGAACCAGACCTTAAAACTTTCCTAGTTTATCTTCTAAACATGTCTAAATTAAAGCTACCTTTTAGGAGTTTGTATATCTTTTTCTTCTAAACACTGTTCATTTGTTATTCTGAACTTCAGTTAACCTCCTCTTGCTATTATCTGTGAGGTGGGAATCTAACTTCTGTGCCACAGATTTTTACAGGACATCTTGGAATTTTTTTGTAGTAAAACCAAATTCTTCCTAACAAAAGACTTTCTCCGCCCCCCCCTCCGCCCCCCGTGTTCACAGACTTCAACTTATGAGGAAGTGACAGTACTTTTTGAGAAACATTTTGAGTAGTTCTGTCTCTAAAACTGGACTTAGAACAGGCAGCTGATTGGGCCTCATAGATTACGTCCAGCAGGTGGCAGTAAATGTGCTAGGGAAATACTTTGGCAAACTGTTAACATTTGCTGTTATTTTGGTGTGTTTAGAAATCAGAATTTCTTTAAATTCTTTTCAAGTAGTTCATTTTGTATCCTTTCCCTTTACTTAACTGAAGTTGGGCAAACTTCATTAGCTGAAAACATTTTGCATGCTTACGGTATTTCCTATCCCATTTTTTTTGCACTAATTTAAAAAATTGCTTGAATAAGTCTACTATACAATATGTAAAACCTGAAGAATGGTGTATATGCATATTATATTTTTTTTTTTAGATTAAGGGTTTGGAAACTCCCTGGACCATTAAAAATTATAATCTCAATTGTGAAGAGTGAAAAAATGCAACACATCAAAATTAATTGGGGGGAAAAAAAAGTTTTGTACAAGTTCAGGAGGGATCAGGGATAATAGGCAGATACTAAAGTTTCCATTCCAGTACTAAGGAAATCGGGCTTGAAATTGGCATAATCTTGCATCCAGTAAAATAATTGCCAACATAAGCATTTAAAAATAAATTTCTAATTTCTTTTAAACTGACTGGACTCCTGAGTGTGGCCTGCAGAGTAGCCAAATATTTTGTAATCCTGAATTGTAAGTCAAAGATGACTTAAATAGCCAATTACAATAAATTATGTTATACATGTTTTGTGAACCATTCATTCTGAGTCTACTCTAAGTAACTTTCCATTATCTTAAAAGAATGGGAATGCTTACCACTGTCAATATGAAAATTTGGTAATTTGAAATAGCAGTGATAGGTGCATTTTGAGTATGATAGCATAAGCCTGTTTTCTATGCTATCTGAAAAAAAAATATTAATAGAAGTCTCTCCCAGTATATTTTTTTTTTTTGTTCTCTTACATTTACTCCTGTGAAGGGTTGTACTTGCAGAACCACTCTGATAGAAAAAATAGTTGAGTACAGACCAAGCTCAAGATATAATGTTACCTCATTTATTTATTTGTTTATTTATTTAAGACTATGTTCGAAGATGTTAGTGGATTTGGAGCATGGCATAGGCGCTGGTGTGTGCTTTCTGGAAATTGTATATCTTACTGGACGTACCCAGATGATGAAAAACGAAAGGTAATGCTGTTTTATAAAGCTCAAGGCTAAAGTTCTGTAGTACCCTACACAACTGGCTGTTTGTTTTTAATGACAGTAATGTTTAGGCTTAAAACAGGTAAGTATATTCAAAGCATGAGATTCAAGCTCCTCAAGTTTCCTTGGGGAATGGAGGGAACTCATCTTCATAAATCAGGGCAAACTTAGAAACTGACCACTTTATCTGATAGGAAAGGGGAAAAGTAGAGGAAGATCCACATTTAATTTCCCCTTTACTCTTAAGGCTTTCCATTGTGCTTGTCAAATGACTGATTATTTAATTGCAATTGATCAGACTTGTACAGCTTAATAAGCAGACTGTATCTAGTGGCCTTAATTTTTAGACAAAATAATGACTTTAACACTTAGTACAGTAGAGAATTAGAGTGGGCAATTCTATATTGTAAAATATAGAATACATAGCTGTAATTATGGACTTTGCAGTCCAATTTGCAGTCATTGTTTTCTTCTACACATTATAGCTGAGACTGGTGCTTTTTAAATCGTTCTTACAGAAACCTAAGTTATTGTCTAGTTAATGAGACAAATGAGAGGTTCATCTGTCACTGAGGTGAACCTTCTTGTCTCCTTAGCCTGTTCTTGCAGCATATACTGAAATATTTACAGGTCCTTAAAGACTACTTTCAAGAGTTTTTTTCTGACTCGCTTATGCAATTTACCATTAAACACTTGCTTGTTTGTTGGCAGAACACTTTCTTTCCCAAACTCTGTGGCAAACTCTAGTCCTTTTTGGTCTTGTATGCCAATCCAGATGCCTGAGTTTAGTTTCTTCCCTGTTAACAGAGGAAGACCATATGCTGATAGTTGACATTGCCAAAATATATCAATGTACTTTCTTTCCCTGCCAGGAGAGAGGGAAAAATCTCTGCCTACTATTATAGAAGATAGGCAAAAAAAAAAAGAGAGTTAAGCAAGAAGAAGTTTCCTATTTTGCTTTTATCTGAAAAAAGCAGCTTTGTTTTTGTTTTCCAGATCCTTTTCTTGAACATCTTTTAGACTTGTTTCACTATCATTCTGAGAAAGGGTCAGCTATATTTTTTCGATATATTATCATCTACAGCAGTATTAAATCTACCCTTATTAAAATCCTCCCCATACCCCTACTATATCTGTTTTACCATGCAGGGAAAGATGTAGCTCAGAAATATCAGTATTGAGCATGGTTGCTTTAAACTATGGATTTTTTAAAAATAAATTTCCCATGGCTGCACATATATCACAAACATGCAGCATGTTTCTTCATTTTCTTGAAATGGAGCAAGCCTTTTTTTTTTTCCCCCTGTAACTTAGGTTATCTGAACTATCTGTGGAATAGTGTAGTGAACATGCCCAATAAATAGCAAACTCTTCTCCAAGCCAAGAGCAGCGTGTGACATTTCCCTGATGAGGTGGTCTGTAGGTGTGAAGAATCGGAGCCAAGGTCTGTAACTAACTTTAGGCATACAGCTGAGCCTCTGTCTATAGTCAGCAGAAAGAGGTAACTGCCTTGAAATTTGAAATCCTTTTTGAAGGAGCCTAGCTATTGACTATAGAGGGAGCTAACGCAGCTGGATTTGGCACTTTAGGTGCCTTAGTTGCATGTTTGAAGATGAATCCATATGCTTATAGGCTTCAACAAGAATGATTGTCCCTAAAGCATTTGTTTTCTGTAGGGTTTGACAGGGTTTACTCTATCAGTTTGGGTTGTAGTATGAAGTTCTGTTGAATTTGAAAGGTAAAAAGATTTTCTTTATTTTTTTATTTAAGGAAAAAAGATAAGGGGGAGATACCTTTCTAGAGCCTAAGCCTTTGGTAAGGGATGGATTTGTTAGCTGTATTGTACATGGCTGAGAAGGGCATTTTCCATTGTCTATATAATCTTGTTTCAGCTATGTCTCTTAAATGCAGAGAGTCCCTCTTTTTGTATGGAGCAATTGATTTGGGGTGTTCACTTAATATGGCAGAAAGTGTAAAAGCATGTGTTGTTCAGAATTACTCTTGATTGCAATATTCTTGACTGATGAACTAATTTCACTTTCCAGCATCCTTTGGGCCGGATAAACTTGGCTAACTGCACTAATCATCAGATTGAACCTGCCAACAGGGAGTTCTGTGCCCGTCCCAACACTTTTGAACTAATAACTGTCCGTCCTCAGAGGGAAGATGACAGAGAGACTCTTGTCAGCCAATGCAGAGACACGCTCTGTGTTACAAAGTGAGTGGATAAAATCATGAAGGTTGTGGGATGTGTGTGGGAGGGGTGTTGCCCTCAAGTGATAGTTTTAATAACATAGGAGCCTTACAACTTTGACATGTCAATGCAAAGCTCATTTAAATGCTAAGACTTTGGGATGACACTTGAGCTGTTTTGATAACATTTAGTCCTAATTTGTCTTGTTGTCCCACTTCAGCCTTCTGAGAAGAACTCCACTTCTCCAGAAGTAGTAATGCCAGGTAGCTTGGTAGCAGGTTCATGGAATATTTGATTTTTTTTTTTTTTTCCCCCCCTACTATTCGGGCTTTCATGGATAGCTTGACATTTTTCAGAATAACTAAGTAGAGGTGGAAAAAGACATATCTAACCTATTGAGTTCTTCACTTTTCAGGAACTGGCTGTCTGCTGATACTAAAGAAGAGCGTAACCTTTGGATGCAAAAGCTTAACCAAGTTCTTGTTGACCTTCGCATGTGGCAGCCCGATGCCTGCTACAAACCTATTGGAAAGCTTTAAACTCTGGAAGGGAAATAAGAAGAAAATATGTACGCAAAAACCTTAATGAACTCAAAAAAACCCCCCAAAACCTTAAATGAAAACGTGTGAAGTCCTCTGGGTCACTTATGCTTTAAATTTGAGAGAGTATGTAACATTATACAGGACTATGTTATGCAGTATTTTTATTTCATGTTAAGAATTTTAACTTTTTTACTTCCTAGCTTTTAGTAGGAAGCAATTAGCTCTTTCTAAATGTGCTAAATATTTATGTAACTCCTTTTTTGGAAGTTGTTTTTAGCTAAGTACATTCTCTTCTTTAAACAACTAAATTATTGCAGGAAATCACACTTCAGGGCAGGAAGGCAGGCAGGCAAGCTAGTGAAAAAACAAGCTTATCTAGATAACTCAGCTCCCTGAAAGAAAGAAGAGCTCAGAGTTCTCCAAGAAGGATGGTGCTGAAGCACAAGATTTAATATTGGAGAGTTTGTCGGGGTTTTTTGTGATGATCAGGCATAGAAGTTACTATTAAATTTTATTCTACAGCATGCAATATAGATATTTCTTGCTTGCACAGTGTCCTTGTGGTCAGAACAAAAGACATGCACCATATATTCATACTTCTTTTGCAATTTCTCATACAAACTGGTATGGATAAATGCATGGCATGTATACTATGTGGTTTACAGGTGTGGAATTATGTATGCAGTATATTGCACTTTGGTAGAAATTAAAAGTCTTGAGTATTTTTGTTAGGACTGCTATATTTAAAAACAACAAACAACAAAACAATAGAAAAAAATTAGTTTTAGGGCTGTATACGTCAGTATTTCCTGGGACTCACAGTTTGTACAAGTTAGAATTCTCTTCCATTTGAGAACCAGGAAAAGGTTGTAAAATTGCCTTTTTTTTTAAGACACTGTAAAGCTGCTATGTACCAACAAATACTCCACTGGCCGAAAGTATGGGTCTTTCTCCCTGTCCCCATTTCCAGCCCCACCCCACCCCCCAACATGTTGATAAATGCAAATGAAAACAATACTTTAGACCCATCATTAAAATGGCAAAATTTCTCTGTTAAAACTTGCAGTTTTCAGAGCTTTTCACTGGGCTTAGTGAAATACTATCTTATGACTGCGCTATTGTGAATGCAATAGTGGAATATTTTAAATTGCTATTGCTGTTATGTATTCACACTTGAAACACTAAATTCTGTTAGCTTTCATCCTGCCACTTTTGTACTTGCTTTTAAATCTAGTTTGCTTTTTTCTGATGTCTTTAAATATTTCCAAACTATGTATTGAGATTTATTTTATTCATTTAAAATAAAGAATGAAACATTTTATGCTTTTTTCACAATGTCATTTATGAATTTGAAATACTAGTTTGTAGGCTGAGGAAGAAAAGCTGGACTCCATGCAACCTTTAAGAAAAGATTCTGTGCAGTATGTGTATCCCAAAATTCCGCTTGATTTGGAAGATAATGTGATGCCTCGGGGTAGCTGGCACCAAATTTTGTCGTGGAAGGCTGGATTGTCCGTGGGCGGTTACCATGAACTGGTTGGAACGTATGTGAATGTAGAGGCTGCTAGAGACAGGCGGTGCGTCACGTATGAAGAGGAGAGGCGGTGCTTCTCGCTTGTGATAGAGACACGGCAGCAGCGTAGCAATACAACATGGACAGTGGAAGAGCAAATTTATTTAATCTATGGCTACACGGTAGGCTGTCCACTTCAACTTCCAAGTGGGCGTTAATAAAAAACATTAAATGGAAAATTATGAAAGGAGTCCATAGAAAGGTGTTAAGAATGGAACTGGATATATCTAAGGGAATGACATTATTATTTAGGCTAATTGGACTGTTATCTTGCAGCAACTAATTGTGTGTGTTCACTGACCAAGATGATAAACTATCCCCATCGAGGAAAGGCATAAGGTGTGACAGACGCTGCGAGTTAGAAACTGACCTGGATGGTGAGCTCTAGGCACAAGCTGTCAGAGGCGATGCCGCATGCTACCGCAGCCAGCAGCCGTGTGCTGTGCTAGCTTAGCAGCAAGCCTGTGCTGCTGGCTTCACTGACCCGCTATGCTGTGTGCCTCCTCCCCGCCTGCATTCCCCTACTCTTCTAAGGGTCAGCTGTGGAAAATGTCTCAATAATGTTGATGGGGGTAGTCGTCTTCCTGAATGTCGCAAGGTGGGTGTGTGGGAGCAAGGGAAACGCTTGGTGTGAGGGGTGAGGCTTAGTACAGGCTTTTGGCTGCTGGCGCACTGGAGTCTGGATGAGTGCTGGAAACAGAGATACTATAAAATGGCAGTTCGGTATAAACTTGTGCCCTGGCATAACATTAAAAAGTGATTGTGCTCTGTCTACAGCCCAGAATTCTAGGCAACTTGCATGGCATTATATTTTTGCAAAAATTAAGATATTCCCAATAAGGCTGCAGGGTTTGAAAAGCTTCAGATATAAACACATCACTAAGCGGTGAGAGCTTTCAGCTCCACAAGTCCGTGTTTTCATGTTTGTAGCAGATCCTTTTGGAAGAGCCCAGACCAAGCGAATTCAAATGGCTTCAGGTAGCTGTAATTGTTCAGTACCTCCAAATTAGTTCCTACTGTCTGGTTGCAATCAAAGCCCTAAGTTTTTGCAAAACACTTTACAAAGAGAATAACATCATCAAAAAAACCCACAAAACAAAACCCTTCCCATTCTCAGTGCTTTAGAACTAGCCCCCCCTGTAATCACCTGCTCTAACTCTCCCCCTAAAAAGACCTTCATAGACTATTCCTTCTAGGGATCTATACTGCTATAAAGCTTGAATGTCATGGAACTATACTTAGCTTTCCAAGAGAAATTCTCCTTTTTCCCATTTATTTCCCTCTTCCCCATGCAGTTGTCACCTTCGACCAATCTAGGCACCAGGAGAGAGTTGAACTAATGGAGTAGACTAGGGTACGTAGTTCGTCACCGTTTTAGAATAAGTAAGCTTTTTCAGAAGCATTTGTTTAAATGTGGGATGTTTATTTTTTAGAATGGTACCAGTAAGTGATTGATAGTTGGGGGTGCAGCTCTTCGGGTGGTTTTTGCATTCTTTGAAATAATGGAGAGGCATAGTGGATGTAGAAGCTGACTGCTGAATAGGCCCCAAATTCATCTTTATTTGCAAATAGTTACCATATTAGTTACAAATCAAATTTCCACATGCAAGCGTGACTCCAAAGGGCAGAGCTCGTCGTGGAGGCAGGAGGACGTGGGGTTTGGCTAGAGCTCCTTCAGCCAGTGGCAGCCCATTTCGTGAAGTCCCTTGGAGCCCCCTGATCAAGCAGGGAGCAATTCTGCCTAGCAAATCCAAGAGCTTTGCTTCAGGGGTTTCAGGGTGTCTTTGAGAAGATGCTGTTCTAATTTTATACGAAAGCTTTTCTCTGTTGCTCAGAAGTTCAAGATGTTCACTAATAAGAAAGTCTATGAATGGAAAATGCTTTGCTTTGGGCAATGAAGCTTATTTTAGCTGAGGAAGTTACAGTTCTACCAGCTTGTAAAACTCCTAATTGGAGTTATTGAATCCCAACCTCAAATGAAATACAATAATTTGCAATGAGATTGCCTGAAAATTCGGCTTCTAAACACATACTGTTCCCTTCCCTCTTTTAATTGCTACATTTCTGTATTTTGGTGTAGATGAAATTATCTGATATTCTATAATTATTGTCTGTGCTGTACTTGGTCCATAGTAAAACCACGTGGATGCATTTGTTTGTCCTTATATTGCTTTTAATGAAAGATAGGAAGCCTGAATAGGTAATAAAAAATAGTTAGGAGGTGTTCTACCTGGCCAGTGTGCAGGACTGTTAGGCTGTTTGGTGGAGAGAATTTGTGCAGGAAGCAGGTAGATTTCCTTTTCCTACTTTTAGTACTACATAGTCTTCCTTAGACATGCCTCTGTGGAGTTGAAACTGTTTCTTGGGAGACTGGATATTTTGGTAACATCTAAATGCCTTGAATGAATTGGGGCCTTATTAGTAAGTATCGTTCAATTGAGGAATGTATTCCCTCTTGGTTTCCTAAAGTAGGTGACTTGAATATTTCCTTAAATGTTAGCAGTTGTCCCGAAGGAATATCTATCTTAAGAAAAGATGCAGCATTGACTGTACTCTAAAAAAAGGAAGGGGATCTAGGATAGTAATAACACGTGCTTCAGTCAAAACGGCATGAGCCAAGTCATCCTCTGCCTATGCAAAATACCACGCCGACGCATCTCCTACAGCCGTGGCCGGTGTGCTGAGGCCCATAGGCGGCCAGGCCACCCCTTCCATTTGGACTGCAGGCTCACGGGTGACCCAGCTGTACGCACGGAACGTGTTCAGAGCAAAGAGCAGAGCAAATCTACTTGAGCTTGGCTAATTTGGATGGGTTTTAGCCATGTCATGTTAAGACTTTCCACTTACCAGATTATTTTTTTTCCATGTATAATTAGTGACATTTTATGCTGTCTGATCCCTTCACCACCAGCAGGGCTGTGAGTAGGGCAGAGCTGTCTATTTATTTATTCTTTTATTTTGCTGTAAGTATTGGATTAGCTGGCAGAAAAAAATAAAATACTAATAATTCTCAACCTTCAAGTCTGAGCCGCTAAGAGCTGCCCAGTATCTTCAGTGATTCCCTAGGTCATGCCTGTGAAAGGTACAGGGACTGGGTACGTCATATTTGTTGGGAAGCAGAAGAGTAAAGATGTATTAAAGCTTGAAAATGCTTTTTTTTATCATGTTTCAAATACACGAAGGGCTGTCAAGTTACCATCTTGTTAATGGGGGGGTAGAGAACCTATGCTCAGTCAGCCTGCACTAATGTTGCCAGGCAAATCAGAATTGTAGCGCCTTGTGATTCCTGGCACATTTTAATAAGCAAACAGCAGCTAAATAATGTATTGACAGTCAGGGCAATTACATACACACAATTTACAGCAACATAATGAGTTTGGGGTCCCCTCACTTTGGGATCAGATTAACCATTGAACAAGTACAAACGGAAAGCCCAGAAATAATGTTCTGCAGGAAAAAAAAAAATATGGGGTAAG